AAAAAAAAAAAATCTTTTCAGGCCTTCTATCACTATCTGCCTCCAGATCTCAAATGTCTCACTGTTCTGGATGCTTTACTTAAAAATATCCTTATGCTTGGTTTTCAGAAATACTGAGCATTCCTGGACTCCCTTTGATTTCAGCTGAGGTTGAGATTCCTTCATGCTTCTGAAAATCAAGTAAAAGCTGTCTCAACTTTAGCATAAAAAATCAGAGGCCCCTCCTGAACTTTTGGTCAGAACAGGACATAGTTTTGCTGGTTCTTAAAGATGGATGAACCCATGATTCCCATTTTACCTATTGGGTGCTTAGCATTCTTTATAAACAAAACAAAACCCCCAAAAAACCACACTTGAACTTGTTTAGCTACCAGTAAAAATTTACACTTTTTGGTCTGTCTTGAAATTTTAAAAAATGGTGGATCTGATTTATGTTGATAGTCTTTGTGCCAAGTTTCATGAAACTCAAAATGGACAAAATATTAAATGTAGCCCTCCACCCTTAAGAAAACCACTGTGGAGGACAGTTAATGGAAACACTGACACTTAACTATAACTGTTCTCCCAGGCGCCAGTGTAATAATGGAGTAGTAAACCTTGTCCTGATAAAAGCAGTTCTGAAAGCAACAGCATTTATTATACCTCCTGTGCTATTTGCAGAGCAGAACTGAAAAATAGTTTGTTTTGCCTGGAATGAACTACTTTATGAATTTTAATGTACAATGTAATATTAAAAGCTAAACCAGGATTAAAGAAGATTTTTGTTCCTAAGCTAAAACAGTACTTATGAGAATGTGTTATAAAAGATTTTTGTTTCGATTTTTGCTTAGGAAAAATATGAGCTTCTCTGTTTGTGAAAACCTGTTCAGATTGGTTATTCCTTCATCAACAGCTTGTGCTTTGTTTAGGAAGAATGAATGATTCCAGAACTTCTCATCCATCTTGCATGATGAGCTATATATCTGGGCAGACTAGCTGGGAAGGGTGAGATTAATTTCCCCAAATATTTATGAAATGACTCAAAGATGCAGGGGAGGGGCAGGTTTATTCTCATGATACTAAATGTAGTGGTATCTCCTTAAAGTTGTTGCCCTTTCCCGGTTTAAAATTATGAAGAGATATTTAGTTGCATGTCAATCTTGGTTTTCTTGTAAGTGAAAAATATGGCTAGTTTTCTTGTCTTGTTTTTAAAAAGAACCCTTTTCCAAAAGAGATTTTTTTTCCCCCGCTCCGGGATGAAGTTTAGTTTTGTGTTGAATCCAATTCCGAAAGAACTGAACCTAATAAAATCTTTTTCTGAATAGATTTATAAGCATCACACTCCAAGAAAAGACAAGAAGCTTGCTGTACAAATTATGAAATATTTGATATGAATATCCTCCAAAAAGTTAACTAGTAGTGTTACATAATATTCATCAGACCAGAGCAGACCAATGGCCCATCTAATCCAGCCCTAGCTACAACTGATGTTTAAGAGAAATGGTTAGAGAAGCCAGGGAACTTTTTTTGCATTTGGTCAACTATGCAACCTTTTTTGGAGGAATGGGCTTTGATGGGACTAAAATGTGTTTGAGCTAACAGGATCTATTTTAAACCACAAAGCAGTGTCCTCAATTATCCGGTTGGGTTTTGGATTAATCTGATAGCGAACATATGCACCACCAATACAAAGGTCGGCGTAGTAGCTATTGTTTATCAAATAGTTGCATTAAGTATTTACCCTTCTTTGCGCGTATATTTAACAAGCAGGCTAGAAAAGGGTATTCATTATATTTGTTTCTGTCAAGTTTTGTGTGTGTGTGAGTGCGCATGCATTGTCCTCTTACAAAACATGCAATGTAGTTTTAATGTAAAATAATCAGGACTGCTTTTATCTTTTTTTTGTGAAGACTCCCCACATCGTGGACTTAATGGGTGCATCTACATGAGACACTAACTGTGCAGTAACTGAATAATACTGCTCAGTAGCGTATCATGGCACAAACAGTGCTAATACGCTACTGCGCAGTATTTATTAGGTTACTGTGCAATAGCATCACTAAAAAGACGTTGGCCAGTGATACTGTACAGTATTATCTCGTGTAGATGCATCCAATGAAACCAACTGATAGAACTCAGAAGCGTGAGGGCTGACTCCGCTCTACTAAGAACCGAACCTGCGGTTCTAGGGAAACCTAGTAGTTAACCCCAGATGCTTAGACCACAAAAAGCTCCCTTCTAAGTTTCTGATTCATAAGTCAGCTTGAGTTTGCAGATTGTAAACTAAACAATAATGCACACTGTTATCAGTTTTTCATGGCCTTTCAATAAGTACCCTTTGTTCCAAAATTAAACATTATTAGAGTTTTCATAGTTTTCACATAATTTTACTGTATACTATTCAGAACATGCATGTGTTCTTGCTGCCGAATGCTAGTTCAGTGTGAATGCCTCACGGGACATGTGTTTTCCCTTGCTGCAGTGTGAGGTATGAATATCCATGCTGTGCTCATGCTGCCCATTGCCAAGCATCTCCAACATTTCTTAGCAGCTGCTGTCATAACCTGATCATCACTTGCTGTACTCTCAATACATGTAATGTGCTACTGAAAAGAAGGCAATACTCTACTTCTCAATCTGTCACCCTATAGGTACAGATTAATTTAGGCCTTTTACCTTATTTTCCTTTTCACTTTTGTACTTGATAATCTGGTATTATGAATGCTGAGAAAAGCTCAGTAGGAGGCAAGTGCCTCCCAGTAAAAAGCAAGTAGAAGCACATGTGTGTCTCACTCTTGCTGGGGCATGCTCCTGAACTACTTAGCAGCAGTATCTCCAGTTACAGCCAATATGCACATACCTGCACTGCCACCGAAAAGCCTGATAGGCAGGTCTTCACTGAGAGAGTGTTCACCAGTTACAACATCTGGACCAGAATGTCTTTAAAATACTCTGGAAGGGATAGATTATGGATTGTCCACAAAACTTGCCCTCTAGAAGAAAAAAATTGAGCCCAAGTTGCATTATCCCTCTGTGTCCCAGCCTTTTGACTCCGTACATCTGAGGCCCTACAGCATTTGAGAGCTCAGGCAGCATGGGATCAAAAGGGCATTTTTTCATGTTATCATCCCCTCCCTTACCCTGATCTGTAAAATCCCCACGGGTGTAATGCTGGCTGGCTCTGATCCTCCTGTGAGCTGATGCAACTGAGCAGACCTCTTGTCACTGACTTCAGTGGGAGATAGTGTGAGTGAAAGGGTATGTGTTTCCTTATCTACTTGGAGGCTTTTGGCCTCAGTCCAAATCAAATTTCTCCTCTACTCTAAGACCGTTAAATGGCAGGAAAGAATTGGAAGCTCCTCAGGGGCTTGAACTGTTCTTAGGTAGCGAGGCCAGATTTCTTTGCACTTCTTACAGTATCAGAAGGCTTCAAATAGCATCCCCCACAGCCTGTACCTCAAAGGGATGCTACAAGCAATCTTACCCTTGAAGGATGATCAACAATGATATTCTACTTTCAACCCTTCTACATGTTTTATTCATAAGGAAAAGATCATATTGCCCTATACAAATAGTTGTTATCAATATATATTTTATGACTGCCTTAAATGCACAAATGAAGGAAAAACAGGAGTGGTAACATGAAAATTTATTTTTTTTTCCTGTTTGTTTAAACATATACACACACATGCACATAGTAATTTTTATATCTGGACTACAAAAAAGATGAAGTAATTGGGGGGAAAAAACCCAGTTTAAATGTACGCAAAGTATGGCTAGCCTTTCTGATAGTCAGAAAAGGTCCTATCCTGGTTCCATGGATAAGTAGATTTGAATTGCTTTTTTTTTTTTTTTTAATTAAAAAATAATTAAACAGTTAAGGAGAAACATAAAAAGAAGGTTAAATCTAAAGTGACAACTGCATTACGCTCTTCATGCAATTGACTGTACTGGACATAGAGCACAAATCAAGAGACGGCTGCCTTTTGATTTCATTAGTGATTCTCTTATACTGAAGTTACAATTTTACTTTAATTGAGAGAAGCAAAGCACTCATTTAAGGATTCACAAGTCTCTTTGAAGCTATTTGTCAGGTTTTGACTAACTTGTTTTAGGAAATTGTGATTCATAGTGGTCAGCTGACAGTGACTGAAATATTTCTGAAACATTCACCTGTGACCATATGCTGGATTTTCTTAATTCCTAGTTACCTGAACCATAGATAATTTATAAATGTTGAATCACTGAAATGTTGAAATGAAAAGGTATCATGAAAGGAAATATAAAGAAGTCTGAATGAAAGGGTCCAGTGGAGAGAGATCATTACTTAAAAAAAATATGTAACCTTAACCTAAAGAAAAATAACAGTTTCATAAATTATATTTTCTAGGTCAAAACAGCTACCATTGCAACAGAGAGGAATGTAAAAACAGAAAATAATACCATGAACATTAATGCTTCCATTTATGATGAGATTC